GGCCTCAGAGCAGGTAAGAGTGATGAAAATGTACATATTAACATGAAAGCACATGTTCTGGTGACCGAAACTATGCCAGTTGTTAGACTGCAGTCTCTGTTTGAGAACAATAAAAAGAGACCCGAACCCCGCAAGAGAGTGCCAAAAAAATCGGTATTGCAATAGTCCGAAAATGGGTACTGGAAGAGGGTGGGGGGAGCGCGCATGCGCAATGCTCTTTGCAGCAATCGCTGCTGCATTTGCTTGACTGAAAATCCATACTGCAAAGGGGTTAAGGGCGTATTTGTCAGGAAGGAATGTACAGATTGCTTGACAGCCATGAATGCTGATGCCGCTTGCCAAAAAAAAATCGGTAATGCAATGGAAAGACAGCGTCGTGCATGTGCAGAGCGGTCGGGAGCCATCGCGTGTCCGAATATCGGTACTGCAAGAGGGAGGGGGGAGCGCGCATGCGCAGAGCGGTCGAGTGCGTTCGCTGCTGCCATCGCCGTGTCCGAAAATCGATACTGCAAGGGGGGGAGCGCGCATGCGCAGAGCGATCAGGAGCGCTGGCTGACGATCAGGTGCGTCGGAAAGTCGGTACTGCAACGGTAGAGGATGGAGAGCAGGGATTAATGCACAGATCGCTTTTACAGCGCTGACGGCTCCGGCCACATGTGAGAAAATAAAYACTATCTTTTGAGGGGGCGGTGCGCGTGCACAGAGCGGTGGGGAGTACTCGCCGCTGCAACCACGTGTCCTAAAGTGGGTATTGTAAGAGGGAGGGGGGAGCGCGCATGAGCCTCCTCCCTCTTGCAGCCCCACCCTGGGGCTCTGCGGCGCTTCCTGGGCTCCGGAGGGAGCGGCGAGGACCCGCCCCCGGGGAGACGTCATGGAACGAGGCTGCCCCGGCTTGCCGGGAACGCGAGTCTTCCGGGATCGCGCTGCCGGGCGCCATGTCGCCTTGCGCAGCATTCCGGGAATTGTAGTCGTATGTCAGGGTCTTCCCGGCGGCCATGTTGTACTCTGCAGTGCATTCTGGGAGTTGTAGTCTTCAGTCACGGAACTTCGAGGTGGCCATGTTGTGGTCTGCAGGGCATGCTGGGAGGTGTAGTCTTCCGTGACGTAACTTCCAGGAGGCCATGTTGTAGTCTGCAGGACATG